CGGAAGCTTGAATTTGTTTACCAATAGCCGGGATAAAAACCCTGTTTTCATGCGCAGGTCGTGTTCAGATACCTTGGTTCGCATGGCCTTCGGACGTCACTGCACAGCAAACATTCTGCCTACGAGTAGTGTTTGCTCTCTCATGTGGAACTCCGAAATGGCTGCATCTGCAGGACCAAGCGTGCAGAACCAGGCAAGGCATTGGCATTGCGACTGAGGAAACCATGACCGCGCCGTCGTTGTGGATTTGGAAATCCAACTGCCGACCGCTCTCTTCTTTGACCCGCCTCACCTGCACTCAGCAGAAGTATTGGTTCGACGGCCAATCATGACTTGCGCGGTCTCTTACCGAGCAAAAAAGAGAGGGTAAGATCGTTTATTCCTGTTCGCTAAGACGAAAACAGACCATGAGAGTTGAAGGCTCCATGAAGAGAAGCGAGGCAACTGCGAGTGGATTGGTGCCAGGCTCGAGCAGTCGTCTTGCAGTTCTCCAATGGATGGCTGGATAAGTGTCGATGCAAACCCGACAACTCGGTACCACTGAAGTAGTGGATCCCAGAAGACCATCTTGACCGTTCAATGAATGCAGGAACAAACTTGGCAGTCGATAGATATCGCACAGATTCCCCGTTTGACTTTTCTCGGGCCCCGGCAAGTCCAGTGCTGTCAGGTACGCGCGGGTTTTAACTGGGTGTGCGTTATGGAGTGGGTACGTGGCGATGCGTATTCTTCATACTGATGCTGTCAGCTTGGTAAAGCAAACATTTGTGATGGCCAGGATGGGATGGATGGAATGGATGAGGGCACCGCTGGTAGTCCGGCAGGGCTAACCTTGGTAAAGAGGAAGGATACTTCTTTTGCCAGACGCAGCATCCTTGTATGGTTCTAGGTTTTGCAGATTCTTCATTCCTCCGGCCGTTTATCCGTTTTCTCTTTTGGGTGATCCCATACGGTCGACTGCCAGGATGACAAGAACTGGTACCTATACTGCTGTACCTCTTATGGTTTCCTCCCACAACGGCTGGGCTTTGGCTGTGCAATTGGTATGGAATGTAATGACCACTCATCAGTAGCTCTCTGGCAGCAGTTAGCAACATTCGACATGCAGCTGTTTGCTTTCAACAATAGGCAAGATAGCCTGGGGGTGCTTGTATACACACTCATGCACACACACATATCAAGAGGTCCCATGTGCGCCCCACCCCACAAACTGTACTGCATCGAGGTATTGCAACGGTTATCGCAACGGTTTATCGAGGAGATGCGCCAGCCGGATAGCGTGCCAGGATGCTAGTCCTTATCGCGTCCGTCAAGGCGCTCAGACTTGTCCCAGCAGCGAATCAGCACCAACTCCGTGAGGGATATTTGTGCCAAATGCGCCAGACGTGCCTGTTCGGACTGGCTGGTCTCAATTGTACACAATCACAATCTCTTGGTAGATAGCATCACGCTCGTTAAGCTGAATAAGATGCCATTGGACCCTCATGTGCCAAGCTGACGACTAGTGATGGTCAAGCAAACCTTGGTCTACTCGTTCTGCTCTTCTCGCTCTCTTCTTCCATTTTCCTGTTGAGGAGACTGCCTTGGACACCGGAGGAGGTCCACTGATGGCCGGCATGTTGTCGACGTCTAAATTATCGAGACCTATCACTATGTTGAACAATTGGGCCGACGCCAGTACCTGGTCAACACGAGTTCTGCACCCTGTGGAGATTGTTGTGTCATGTAAAGTCCAACTGATAGGGCTCTTGTGAAGCGCAGGGCACCTGTACGGACCTTGGAAACTCTGGCGCCATATGCAGCTGCTTTTACTGACTGTGCAGGATAGAATCGATCGTTGGAGGCTGCCCAAGATCGAGGGATATCGTCTTCGGACCAGAGAATCTCTCTTCCAGCACTCTGGTAATTGGTCACTAACCACAAAGTCCTGAGAGTCTGGTCCTCTTTTTGAAGCTGCCTCTGACGCTTATCTAGAAACGAGAGGAGTCGGGGGACCTGCGCACTTGGCCCGGACCAGAGCTTTGATGTCTGCGCCTACTGCTGAACTTGCTTGACTTTAAACGGAAATTTCGCGCCGTTTGGTAATTTTTCAAGCCCATACCGAGGCAGGGCGGACATTTGGTGAGAGTCCGTTACTGTCCTCTTGGTGGTAATCTAGCCGACGGACGTGAAGAGCAATCCGAAGAAAGACGTGACAAACCCATAAGGAGAATAGAGAATGCTTGCAGTACTCAGAGCCCAAGGTGCACACGACATGTCGTAGAATGTGACGACAGTTGCGGGCTCGTTACTAGACAGTGACCCGTCGAGGCTTGCACACAGGGTCTCCAAAGAAAGCGCCATGCTGTGGTTCCGCAATCCTCTTGGTGACTACTAAGAAAGCTCGAAACTGCATCGTCAAAACTCCGCGGAACGGGCAGTGCTGGGAGTTGATATAGGAGGAGGAGACGATGGATTCCATCACGCTTTGTATGTCGTCCTCCAGATCTTCACTGACTCGCTGGGTGTATCGTGTTGTCCCTGTACTGCCAAACCTGGGGTTCCGATCTCGATGCGAGATAACGACGTCGACCTCGTCCATTGAATTATACAATCAATGTGTTCTTGGTCGCACGCTGTCAGTCTGCCCATGTCGATCAACACAAATCGGAACTGTTCAGGGCCGTCCCGTGCACATTACGATGTTGGCTGATCGCAGATCATCGTCCTGCAAACCTTGAAGCGACAACCTGTAGATCACAGTATGGATCTGGCAGTGTATGGTATGCCACTGCTCATCGGAAAATGGCAGTTTTTGCTGTGAGCGTCCTTGTACACGTCGTCGAGCTCGAAGCAAGCAAGTCCTATCTGCTCACTGAGTTATCTGCTAGAGGTGTCATTCGACTCTTCTCGACATCCAAGTTCTGCTCAAGTTAATACCCCGGGGTGGGTTTTGAACCATTCGTTGTCAGCCGTCACTTGGTAGGAGTGGCCGCGTACTTTCGTGTGGAAACCCTGCATTTGTAGTCACTGGGTAAGTCCCTGGGAGTACTTGATGTCCAACGCCTTCGGAACGCAGCGTCTGTGACGATGTATTTGAGAGAGGGCGTTGTCGGTTGACATGAAGGGGTTAGAAGCGCACCGAAGATGGTACTCGTAGAGGTCGGGATCATTAGTGCCCGCAGGAGAACTGGTGATAGGCCAGAAGAATGGAAGAATAGCGAGCGACGAAGAATGGAGGTGATGATCTGGATACAGGGGAGGATCACCCACGACGCAGGATATGCTGGTTTGCAGTAATGACGGGTCTATCGAGGAAGGAAGTGAGGGTCGTGGCCTGCGGCCAAGCAACCAACAAGCAGCCACTTCTGACTGTAAAGCGAGGGTGTGAGCCATGGAAAGCAAATGCAGCTTGTCACGATAGACGGCGCAAAGAGAATTCAGAGTACAATTCAGACTCTCTCCTTACACCGAAGGTAACCTTTCATACACCCCGACCTCACCGAGTAGAGTCTCTGTCTATGCTCTTTCGTTTTCTTTCCCACCAGGTGCGGTCAGTGACTCTTACCTCTTACCCTCTTGCTACGCTACAGCTGCCACTCCGTCATCCAAGGCTCTGGCGGCCACACCATTGTCGCCTTTTTACACCCAACCAAAGTCCCGCCTCCATTTCGCCGTCATGACTCGTTCCGTGATCAGGTACCTACCTACGGCCTACGGAGCGCTGGCGTTGGCAGCGAAGTCGGAGGCCGAGGTATGGAGGGCCATCCATCGGTCGTCCTTGCAAGCATCCATCACTGACTTTGACAGGGTTCGTTCGAGGGTCGGAAGGAATACTGTATGCCTCGCGTGCGGACAAGAAGGACTGTTAGTGTTTTCCTCCCCATTTGGAAGCCAGCGAATCAGCACCAAATCCACCAGGGGCGCGGCACACATGCACACATGCCATGCCATGCCCTGTCGCGGACTGGTCTCAATTATACGCTGCAGTGTGTGATCTTTTAACAATTTTTTTTCTTTTCGTCTTATCTTTCCTCTCGCTCCCTTGTCCATTGAGTATCTTGACTTCTGAAAATTTTTGCAACGTTCGGGTGGAGACTAGACCACGGAGGAGGCCAAGGAGTCACTTGAGTGTACTCGGTAAGGTGGTAGGTGGACAGCTAGCTAGCTTCAAGAGATGGATGTTGTGGGTATGGATAGACGGATGGATTGTACGGAGTAGGTAGTTGAATAAATGTCCAAAGAAGAAGAAAATACCCCTGTTGTGAGTGGGTAGTGGCTTGCGGGTAGTGGGTGCGTGGTGAGTGGGCGCATTCTGCTCTTTCACTTTTCGGTGCGTAGTGGAGTCTCTCTCTCTTTCTTTCTCTCTGCATTATCGTGTTCCAGGATCTACGGTGCCACTCCCACTGTCAATTGTGCATATGCAGTATATGTTCGGTGCGCGGTGCGGTGTGGTTCCCGCTTCTTGGTAGCCCGGATGTGTTTCCAGCGTTCCTACCGGCAGACAAGGTGTAATCTTCAATGGATGGGGTTTAGCTCACCTCGTGGCAGAAAAGTATGTTCGTTGACAGGGCCGCGCTACTGACTGGTGTAGCTTTGCCAACAAGAGCGTGCATATTCAAAGTGTGGGTGTGGGTATGTTACATACTCGGTACTCGATAAATCGCTAGAGAGGGCCGTGTTTTCGCTGTAGGCGAATCCCACGTCGCATGCAGCAGCTGTTGGCGACGATGGCAGCTGCTGTCTGACTCTGCGCATGCCGAGTTTTCTTAGTGTGAACCAAAGAAAAGGCACAAGTTTTGAGTTGCCAGGAGCCACAACATGTGCACTCATTTTGTTTAAATGACAAGGTTAGTAACCTTTTTATATGGGTCATTTGAGTAAACATCTTGTCTTTCAAACCTATTTATCGCCCAGTGCCACCTAACCTTCTTACTGAAGTCAGACTGGGTCTTTACGACATCCTCAAATCATAATTGAACATTTCACCAATTCCTATACTCGCTTATACCTGCCCACCCTCACTCCAACGTAACAGTCGTCCGTGACGTCCGGACTTCGTCCTCCCCAAGGCTCTCAATCTCCAGATTGACGAATCCCAACCGCTTCAGAGTTGTTCCGTCTCCTCCTTCATCCACGGGCGTGACGAGGAGAGAGTGATAGATCATGAGCTTGTGCGAAGTGTCTCCGACGTCGACTGCAAGGACAAGTGCAAAAACTTTGCCTTCTCGCGCCAAGGTTTCTGCTTCTTCGTGTCTCTGTCCTATGGAATCGAACCTGCCGGTCGACTTCGCATCCACACCGCCAGGAGTGCGAGGATCCACTTGTCCCGGCGTGCGAAGACCTCGAGGAGTGCGGAAAAATAAATGCTTTTGCTTCAGTGGTAAGCCGGTCTCCCTGTCGTCGGATGATCTGACACTCTCGACGAGAATGAGTGGCAGGAGCGGCGCCTCCATCTTTATCCAGCCGCTTTTGACCTCCCCGAATCGGCTCTCTCCGACCAGGTCAACCTGGCAGTCGATTATGAAGGCAAGCTGTTCCCAACGGCCGATTAATCCGCTGGTGGGAATCCCGTCAATCGATACCCATGACCAAGAGGGCTTGCGGTCTTTGACTTCGGCGACATCCAGCGCCTGCCACAGGAGGCCTTCTATCATCGACTTGCGCCATATGCCGGCAAGGTACTGGTCCCGCAACCTCTCAGCGAATACTGCCGCGACACCTGCAAAGGCCGGCAACTTGTCAGAGCTTTTGGTGAGCTTGCGCGGGCCGTAGCTCCAAAGAATATTATACCATAACTGCATGTTCGTGTCAGAAGTACTGCCGCCGGGTACAGGCAAGAAGCCAGACCGAGGGTCGCCGTGCAGAGTGAAGTATCGCTTTTTCAAGTGTAGTCCATCCTCGCTTTGAAACCCGGCATTGCACTCAAAGTACATCTGGTCGGTAGCAAAGTGCAAGACGCGACGAGATAGAACCCTCTCCTGGAAGCACCACGCCCGCGCGGACAGGGGCTCGGAGCTCATCTCGATGTACTTGTCTGGACGGGCTTCCAGGGCTGCCGGCAGCGCAAATGCATAGACTTGTCCATCGAGACCGCTTTTGCTATCTGAATAAGGTATGGGAACATATTTCTTCAATTTCCGGCCAGCGAAGCACCCGAGGGTCCCGTCCTCGGCGCCTGTAACCGATATAGTCAGGACGGCATTGGAATAGACGGCGTGCATCGTTGCTAGCTCTCTGTCCCAATCTTCTGGGTCGTCTTGGAGGATGCAAAGGCTGTCGATCCAGATATGGCGAAGTCCCAGGTACCGAGTAATGGCAATGGCATCCTCAAATGACCTTGTCATATCATCGAGGCTGACAATATTTGATATCTCTAATCCCTTCTTCGTGACTCGCGCAGGCAAGCGGTGAGTACCCCAGCAGTGACTCAGGGCAATGTAGCGCCCAGCTGGCTCCGTTTTGGTATCGATAATACGGACTTCACGACTTGTGACATCGTCGTCGATAGCCACGAGCCGTGTAGGCAGCACGGAAGGAGTCAGCGCGCAGTGCGGGTGATTCTGCTCGCAGTCCCGAGCCCAGCGAGACGCACGTTCCAACGTCGTCGGGGTTCCGACATTGTCATCCACGATCCGCCCCGGAAATATCGATCCGAGCGGGTCGCCTATAAAAGCAAATCAGTCAGAGGCAAGGTCCATATTTGGGGCGATCACATTCGCATCTTGCCTTCCGGCACCGCCAGGCCGATGGCGCCGAGGAGAAACACCGTATCCCTCACGTCGCTGTGGCTGAGGACCAAGAATCCCTTGCCCGTGTCGCGTCGCCGCGCCAGGAACAGGCTGCCCGTCGGGTACCCGTCTCGGTGGTAGTCGCGGAAGACCCTGTCGTTGTGCACGGCGCGGAACTCGTCAAAGACGAGGTCGACCTGCTCCAAGATGAGTCTGCACAGGTCGCAGTCTGCGGCGGAGATGCGCAGGGCCTGCAGGTCCGGGTGGTGAGGGAAGCCGAGGACGCCGCCGCGCCGCCGCGAATTTCGCGCCCGGTAGTCGAGATTGTACGGGATGATGTACTTCCAGCTGACCCAGGGGGTATAATAGGTCTGGGGGAATTCTGGGAGTTTGTCAAAGGGAATGTCGAGGCACACGGAGCAGAGCATCGTTTCTAGCACAGTTCGAGTTGTGTTTTTTCCGTCTCTTTTTCTCTTTTTTGGGCGGGATTTTTTTTTTTTGAGGCTCCGTTATATCTGGACAAGCGAAGGACGAGTACCTACCGAGTACCTACCTACATGTACATATGTTTGTTCGTTGGGCAGCACGACCCAACACGATCCTCCTCGTCAATCGCCCTCGGCCACGTGTCATATGCATGAGGCTGCCAATAGCAATTTTTTCCAGGCACCGCCTCGTCTCCCGTCACTCACTGTTCAAAGTCCGTGTATTTCTTTGGACGGTGGTTCGGCGCTCTGGGGATCGATTCCTCTCTCATTATACATGGCCACGGTCTCGACATACTCCCGAGATCAGAAATTCGCTGATCGATTGAGTCTGTCTCGTGGAATGGATGTACATATGGACATACCAGCTGGTGCCGGAGAGCCGGGTGCTCTGGAACGCGGGGGCACTTTACATGAGCGAGCGAGCGCAGTCTTCGCAACAAAATTTCTCCGCTCCGCTCGACCGCGTGGCGTGGCGCGTCGCAAATCTTCCACTACTCGTTACTGCCTAGGTACTTGTTGTTCCACCTCCAGAGTTTCAACTTGACTTTCCTCCACCCCCCCTTTTGTGGCGCAAAACAGTTGAAGTTGCTTGTTTTTTTTCTTTCGCGAAATTGGCATGGAAGAATTGCTCAAAGCGAGCTCTGGGTCACAATTTCGGCTCATACATACATACTTTCTCGTAATCTCGCTCAGCTTTTCGGTCGTCTAACGCATATGCCCACATGATCCGTCCGTCATTTGGGATTGCTTCAAAACACCAAATTAATATTAAAACAGCAAATACCGAGTATCCGTTCTTCAGTCTTCGTTCTAAGAAAACTATCGAAATTGTCATCTCCATACTCGTAGATGTCAAGTCTCCTTCTAGATGCGTTCCAAGCTCTTATCTAAACAGTCGTCCAAGTAGTCGTAGACCATGAGCCTATCTCCTCTGTCGCTTGCCATAAGAGCCGTGCACTTGGCAATAGCTCGGTCACGGCCGGAACGGTTGGCGTCTCAACCAACCATGACAATATATTCCCAGCACGAATCTTGGGTCGCTCTGTGACCAAGAATGGCAATCACACTCAGATGAGCCAGCTAATTCCTCAGGTCAATCAATGCCCTAGGCATGTCAGTGGACTAAGGAGGAAATTGACCTCGGCGTCCAAAGGGCTTCTGGGAAATAGGTCACTGGCTTCCGTGCTGGGATAGAAACAGTGTCGTTCGGCCTCCCCCTTGTACGAGGTACTGCATCACCACCTGAAGCCGGTGCGTACATTCCCATGGTTCATTATTCAGTAGGAAGGAAAATGCGGCAGCCTTGAGCAATTGCCCATGTCGTCGAGAATCATGGTACATGTTGATCGACGACGCAAAGGACGAAGACCGTGTTCAGCATGACACTCGCCAGGCTTCCAATACTTTTCGCCCATCATTCGAACGATTCATCGAGCCAATGCGATGGTAAAGAGGTGCATCGCGATAGCGGTCTCCGGACTGGTCATACCGGTGATCTTGATTTCCGCGATAGGTCACTGGGACTGCTCTGCGAAGCCGAACTTGGTGTCTCGCTCAACCCACCGCTGAGGAGACGTGCCAACCTCTCCAGCCTGACTCGTTGAAGAGCGTCGTAGTAGAAAAACTTTTCTTGAAAGTTCCTCAGCACATCGAGCGTGTCGAAGTCTGGGTGCGTTTCCTGGAACTGTCTGATATGCTCCACGAACCCGATCTCAAAAAGCTGCTCAATGAACCACTTTTCGTCCTCAGTGCCAATCATAGAGCACATGGCACCGATCGTAAGCACCCATGTCTTGAGCTGCGATAATCCCTCCCACTGACTATGTGGTCCATCGACTGACCAGAAGATGGCTCGTAGTTTTGGTGCAATCAAGCTTCCCAATCGCTTCAACCCAAGTATCACCATAGACGTCAAGATCCACATGAGTAACCCTACACGGAAGGCGTCGAGGCTAGATCCTGGATATTCCAGGGCCAGAAGCCGGTATCGAACTGCTGCGTGACGCCACTGTAGCCATCTCGCCGCATGCTTTGACGCCTCCGGTGCTCCCAGTGGTGCATGATGCAATACCCAAGAGCATTCCGCCGTCTCCTGTATGATCTCCACTAGCTCCTCCGGGAAATATCCCTGGAGACATAGTCGCTGCAGAGCAGGCGCAAAACGGATCAAGTCTTGTTGGGGAGCAAGCTGCAGCTGAGGCGGAGTGACAACCCAGTATGGGCCAGGATCGTATTCACATGGCAGACTGCACGGCTCCAGAAGAACGGCAGACATGTGCCCATCGCCAATGATAAAAAGCTCCTTCAATGCTGGGTCTGGTACATGGTGGAGGCCACCCCAAGAATCGAACAGCACTTTTGCTGCTTGCATATGTATCTTCGCCGCTTGATAGTTCTGTCGGTAGGCATCTGCTGCATATAGGTGAAAGACAATCAGGAGCAACTGTTGTTTTGGGGCAGAACTGAAGCGCCGCCGCACCGCTTCCAGAGCGTTGCCCATGTACTTGTCCGTACCCTGGCCGGGGACCATATCCACGTTCTCGATTCTAGCGGCCATGCTGGCGAGCATTGCATTCATTTCAACTTCACTCTGCATGGCTCGGCGAACAACATCCACAGCGGTAGTCTGGTACGTGTATGACCCTTCTCGCGAGGCCCACGTCTCAGCGTGCCACACGCTGGGGTGGAAGATTTCGCAAAAGTACCGACAAAGCTTTGCGACATGTGGGTCGAGTTTGACAACTGATTGACCGAAGGGGTCGAGAGAGGTCGAAGTGATCTGACTGATATCCCGAGGGGTTTCGACGGCACGCGGGGAGTTCAGCAACACAACTGCTTTTTTCTCGACGGTTGGCCCGGCCAGCGACTTTGGTGTCTTCGGCTTGGTGGATTTTCTGCGAGTCGAGGCTGGTGATTCAAGATTTTCCCGTTTTGGCTGCTCGGCGAACTTGGCGCGCGGCGACAGTCTAGCGGGTAGCCATGTCTTATTGTCGGTATCGTCTTCTTTGGGTTCAGTCTTTACCTTGGGCGGAGATGGCGAGGAGTCGACCAGGTCGGGATCTGTTAGAGAGGTAGTAGGCTTTTCCCGGGTCGCATTCTTCCGCGCCCTCGTCCCAGCGCGACTGGCGCTGGTGGCAGAGCGCCGATGTCGACGACCACGCTGGACATGAGAATTGATCGAGGTCTGTTCAGCGGCGCTGCTGCGGGTCAGCGAGCTGCTGGCGGCATCCTTATTGACGAATAAGAACTGGGGTGGCATCTTTTTGAGGTCACGAATGGAGTCTTTGTGGGGATCTTCATGGTCAGCGGCGGCCTGCATCAACGGATCTCGAGGTCATGGAGATTGAAGCAATCCATTATCGATGTCTGGGTCTTGCTTCCTGACCCTTCCGGGGGAGGGCTTGAATCGACGGTTCCTGCGAGTCTCGGTAGTGGTATGAGGGCACGATGGGCAGAATTGGCGAAGCGGAAAGACGAAGCGAGGCCGGTGGGCACGATAGGTGAATAATCCGGGGGAGGCGTAAAGCCGGATGTCAAGACTCGGAGCTGAGGACTCAGGAGAGTGGCAGAGTGGTGAGGGGAACTCAAGACACGCAAGACACGGCCAGGAGGATGTGGCTTTTAGCCTCGGGCCTAGACGCCGGTCCGCCTCACAAATCAGTGGCGCTATCCCTAAATTGATTTGCGCTAAGCGTCTTTGGGTCAAGTGTTGTACAACTCCAGCTTCCCATCGTCATTGAATGATTGAATTATCATCAAGACTCTCGGTGGCTCTCAGTGGTCGTCATTCTATTCGAGGACAAGGAGCAGAACTGCAAACAGATCTCTTCAATAGCTCATTTCTACATAAAATCACATTCAGCCCTGTTGCGAGGATATCTCCTCTCAAAAGAAGTAGTGTATTTCCATCTCTCATAACAGCGGCGGGCGTCCCCCCGATATACCTGCCTCGACACAGCTCCTTGTTTGGCTCACTTGCTCACAGCAGAGCCTCCACCAAGTCAACAAGGTCACGAGGCTGATCAGACTGTCAAGCCTCATTCTCCCGGTTGGTGAACTTCTCATAAAACTCCAGGGTCATCGCTGCTAAGAAGCACGGTATCTGTTTCTTCTCTTTCACCCAGAAATTGATCAGATCTCTGATTTCTGCAGCAAAAGGACTGTCGGAACCGCCGCTAATCTTCATTGTACCGTTGTCACCATCGAAAATAATGTAGTGGTCGTCCTCTTCGTCCTCGCTCTCATCTCCCAGATCATGAGGTCGCCCATAATACATACTCGAAACCTTGGCCTTTCCATTGGGGAGAAAGTTGACTTTGTATCCGAGAACGCTTGCAATAACGTCCCGGAATTCTGCAGCCTTTTGGGTCCAGATCTCTCGCTGGCGCCTCATCCTTTTTTCTTTCTCGGCGACAACCATTTCCATATCCTTCAGATCCAATTTGAGCGCATCAACCGAGGTTGCTGGGACCGTCTTAACTCCATCAAGGTCCTCACCCCGCAACTGTGCGAGAAGAGCCTTGTTTTCTTCCTTGAGCGTTCGTAGGGTTGATAGTTTGATCGCTTCGGCTTTGGCAGTAGGATTGTCCCGAAGCTCCAATACTCGTGTCTTGGAGCTCTCTCGTAAGGCTTTGAGTTGTGATTTTGTCGCTTGCAGGTCTGTGGCCAACATCTGTGACTGTTGAGCGGTCTTCTGCAACGCGATTTGGAGATTCTTGTTCTTTCTCAACAATGCACCGAGTTGTGAACCACCGCCTTCGCCTTCAGGTTCCTGTGAATCTGCTGGTCGCTTGGTTCCACGAGGCTCGTCCGCAGCTGGGGTGCTGGGTGCAGGTGCAGCTTCAAGTTTTGAAAGATCAGAGTGGAGGGTCTGCACTTCAGTTTTATATTGATCCACCAGGTTTTCCAGGGCCTTGATTTGTTCCGAGCGTTGTGCATCGAAGTTCTGGTTGTCCATCAAGACAGTTTCCTCGGTGTCCAAGGTCTTCAATTGTGCTCGAAGATATTCAACCTCTTTGACGGCAAGGACCCGTTGTCGCTCTAATCTTTTGTAAGCTTTGTTGTCTTGACTTGCGTCTGGTTGTGCAGTCTTCGTGGATTTCAAAGTCTCGATCTCGGCGGTCAAGGCCGCTTTCTCTCTTTCCTGTGCCCTGATTATCTCATCCTTCTCGGCGATATCGCTTTCGACTGTGCCCAGTCTGTCCACAATTGAAGCGTACTCTATTCGTTGTTGGATAAGAGCTTTTACAACAGCTTCAGGGGATTCGAATTCGCTCTCTTGACCGTCGCGCTGCAGGAGGCTTGTCCAGGTTCTCTTTTCGTCCTCTAGAATTTCTCTTTGTATCTGAGCTTCACCCAGCTGTCTTTGCACGTCCTTGAGCACTTGAAGCTCGATTTCTAGACCGTGTTTCTGTTCTTCAACGACCTCAACGCTACGATGTGATTCGCGCAGTCGCCGCAGCTCGGCCACATGTTCTCTGTTGGTTGCCTCTAGCTTTCGAACGTGGCTCATTTGTTCTGAGAGCTGGTTTTGCAGAACCTGCATCGCTTCGCTGTCACCAGTGTGCGACTTCAACGCAGCCACTTCTGCTTCGAGACTTTCGATTTTCGATTCCCGTTGAGACAAGCGCGCCTGCGATGACTCAAACTGCTGAGTCAATTCTTCCAGTTGTTGTCTGACACTGTCCACAGTCTCTTGAAGAACCGCACGCTTTGCCTCGACATCACTGAGTTGGTACTTGTTATGTCTTTCTTGATCCGCGAGACGTGCCTGGGCGTCCGTAGCATCCTCCTTGAGTGAAGCCGCTTGATCTTGTAAATCGCGTAGTTGTCGTTCTAGCGCCGCTTTTTCGTTGATTCTCTGGTCCTGCAGTTCGCGCAATTCCTTCGCGAGCGCCTCCTGTCGCTGCGTCGCCTTTTGAGCGGCGCTCTCTGCCGTTTGGTATCTCTTGAAATCGGCATCGGCCCGGAGTTGTTGTTCTCGTAGCTCTTTCTCATGTTGTAGCGCCAAAAGGCCTCGTTCTTGCTGCAAATTCTTCAACTCGTATTCAAGGGAGTTGATTTTCGCACGCAGGTTCTCATCGTGGGACTGATCTGCCCGGGAGACAGAAGGCTGACGGACTCTGGACTGTCTGGAAGCCTGTGGAGGGTTCTCAACTGCGCCGCCGGTAATGAAATCGTATGACGGTTGTGTGCTGGCAAGTCGATTTTGACCGGCTGCGGAGGCCGGTCGAGGTAACGCTGATTGCCCACCCGAAATGCTTTTGCGACCCGAGAGGGAAGTTCTTGAGGTCGATAAGCGCATACGCTTAGACGCCGGAGAGCTCATGTTGCTAGGGCATTTAGTGAAGGAAGAGGGGATCTAGTCAGGAGATGAAGAGGTGAAGATGAGGTGAAGAAGAGGTGGTTGTTTACACTCTCTGTTTTCGGCCTTGGGAATCAGCCAATGAATCATCCGAAGATATGCCGAAGGATCTCGCCGCGCTCGTTCCTTTACAGCCTCACCAGCCATCCATCAGCCTTTCCGTCACCTCTGCACGGAATGCCTTGAGTTCATCATGCTTTGAAACAGCTTCCCTTGCCATATCACACCCAAAGCAGGCCCTGCAGATCTCAATACTCCCCACCAGCCTGCATTTCTGTCTCGGCACCCTCTTGACGGCTCTCAGTCGCTCCTATCTGGTCGTTCCAGTACATTGAGTACAATCCTCGCTAGTGCTGAGGCACCCTTCGCGTTTGCTCAGAAAACATCCGAGGCAGATGCCCGGCATGTTTCCGATGAAGTCGTTGACCGCCTTCCGCAGCTCTTCGGCGAAGTCTCGCTTGCAGTATGCACAATCGCCAACGCATGCTTCGTCTTGAAGACTCTTCCAGGTGATGTTTTTGCTGATGAGAGTTGCAGCCATCTCTCGCACCTTGCACACCATCAAATGCACCGTCTGCACATTTGTCGTCTCCACATGGGGTGTAAGCTCGTGAAACTTCAACTGAAGCATCAAATACCCATACTTGTTGAATTGATAGGTCAGAGCCGTTTTGGCTGTCTCTCTTCCAATGCATTCCACTATCATCAGTAAAAAATTCGACTTGTAGCGCTTCGAGGTCGCATTTATGAGACCTGTGATTGTCAGAAGAGCTTCAAGTTCAGGGAAATACTAACAACGAACCCATGACTGCACTGATGTTTTCAGAGTCGCTCATTTTCTTGAGATCCCGCACAAGACATGTGGCGCCTGAATATATCAGGACTCTCGTCATTTGCCAGAATAACCTCTCGAGACGGAATACGGTGGCAGCATGTAGAAGTATCGCAGCGTCAGGAAACACCACCCGCTGCATCCTAGCCTGCATAGCCCGGTCCTCAGCCACGGACCGCTTTTTCCAGTACTGCGGATAGTTCCCGTGAAAGGTTTCAATAACACTCGCGAGCCTCATCAGAATCCACGGCCTCAGTGCTGGAATGCACAGCCACTTGGCTGCAGCAGTTGTCAACTTGATCAACTGCACACCATCGAGATGGTCGAGGTCTCCCTTGTGATGGAATATTTCGAGCAGACTTTGGGTGATCTTTGGGTCATCCTCTGGCAAGCAAATGACCTTGGTATTGCCTTCATTGCGTGAAAATAGCAACATCCGCGAAAACTCCTCTGAAGCGACACTGACGACCGTTCCAGAAACCCTAATGTCCAGGACATCATCGCCTGTCCCAACTCTGAAGACAACACCACCGCTTGGCATAATTTCCACCAGTTTGACGTTGCGCTTTTCTTGTGCGTTCTCGTCAGGGTCCATTGCGCTGGCATTTCGTTTGCGGTTTGTCCGGGTACTGGGCGAAGGGAGGTTGGCATCTCTGACGTTGAGGTCAGCCATGGCTGTTTCGATGGGATATGCGCGAAGGACGAGGAGCAGAGGAGGCAGCAGGTTGGCAAGTTGATGGTGAGGTCGTGTTGAGTGGAGTGGTACTTGAAGGTAGGAGCCAGAGTATTGGGCGAGAGGAGGCAGAGAGAAGAAAGTGACGGTCGAGTGAATTTCCCAAGCACAGCATTCACTCTGCGCCTACCTGAGGAGACGCTCGTTGTGCACGACTCCTTCCGGCTACAATCACCTACCTATGTAGGTGCCCTTTCACTTGACATATCGATGGCTGGACATACCAGCATCTCGACAGCTTCGACGCTCTCCGCTACTTCGGACACACTTCTTGTTCCCGTATTACCTTTCCCTTCATGGTCGCCAACTCTCCGTCAGGCATTACCATGAACCAGGAAGAGATATATACAGAGCCGCGAACTGGCAGACTGCGCGCAGCGCGGCTAACACGTGAGGACTAACGGATGGAGCTAAACACACGGCTTTCTACTACAAAGAAGAAACCACTGAGAAAAAGTGAGTTGGGTAAAATTGTGGTATGACGAAGCGAAAATATTTCCAAGTCTCTCGCAACAGATGAAACGTGAACTTCGCCCACCCCTCCTCCCCCCTTAGCCTATCCCCCTTCATCAAAACATCTCCATAAGCGGTACTGCGTACAAAGCCCCCCCCCCCCCCCCAACCTTCCCGATCTCTGATTTTTGGAGTTTTCTGGCGAACACAGATAAAATAGGAATCAGCAAAACGCGTCTACTACGCTGAGCGTGCTCTCAACTTAGATGGCGATGACTGCAACGGCGCCTGCTCCCAGCAAGGCTCCCATCAAGGCGATACCACCTGTAGGTCTCGAGGCAGCGGCGCCGGTGTAGACAGCGACCAGGGACGTCGCGTCAGGGGCAGGGGCATAGCTAGAGATCGCGGGCGTGGGTGTAGGCGAGGCCGCGGTCGCCGCTGCGACGGGGGTGTTTGCTGGCGTGTATGCCGAAGGGGACGCACCGCCGGGAACATATGGCGGCGAAGAACCAGCCGCACCACCGCCGTACGTGGCTGCTGTGGCGGCAGCGACCGTGGCCGGGGCCGAGTTGCTGGGGCCGCCGTGCGGGTATCCTCCGCCGTGTCCTTCTTCATGGTTGGCAGGTCCGTAGGTGGTGAAGGGCCGAAGGGGTGCTGTCGGGGTGACTTTCCACGGGCACGATTCCGTCAAGGTGGTGCCCTGGCACGTCGAGCATGGGTACACAACTGCCGGGGCCGCAGTGGGTTTGGATGGGCAATGAGTCTGCAAAAAGGTGTTCATGTCAGTTATTGACTGTGTTGTTCTTTCTCTGTAAACGAGCTTTGACTTCATTCGCCAAGGCGGAAGGAAAGGTACTGACCGTTGTCGCCGTGATGAAGTCCGTCACGGTGATTCCCTGGGACTGGAAGGCGCACACGTAGCATGGCATGGATGGGATGGGCGTGTTGAAGATGGGCTTCTGGTAGGTCGAGACCACGCTCGTGGTGGTGTACGTGACTGGTCAGATCGATTAGTATAACCATCCAACACGACAACAAGACCCCAACTAAAAGACTTACTTGTGCTGGTAGGGTCAATGGTGCTGCACTGCTCAATTTCGGTCACTGACACGATGATCTCAATGCCGATGCACTGTGATCGAGGGATCGAGGGCGTGACGTAGGGCGGAGCAGTCCAGGCTCTTTTCGATGTCGTTACCGTCACCGGGGAGGCCGTGGTTGTCGTAGGTCTCGGGCTTGTCGACGAAGTAGTCGTGTTTGAGTAGGTCTTGGATGTGGTGGTCAGGACAGATGTTGTGAAGGTCGTGGTCGTGCTTGACGATGACGTCGAGGTCTATACAAGGGTCAGACAACGAACACTGGCCGGAAGCAGATATCCTTTCTCATACCGTGGCAGAAGTAGTTGAGCTGCTGGTAGTTGTGACGGAACCACAAGTACCATCTCCATTAGCAATGCCGCTCTCGCACTTGCAACTCTTGGAACAGCCATCACCGTCTGCAGTGTTGCCGTCGTCGCACTCTTCGCCGAGAGAGGGATCAAACTTGCCATCACCGCAGCCGGCGGGTGTTGCACCACGGCTTAGAATGTAAGGCAATCCTGAATGGCCATCACCATAGTTCTGGGTGCCGGTGGTAATGACGCCGTCTGCAATTGCCAGGGCTTGAAACCCATTCTGTCCAACAGAGGGATACGACGAGAACGCTTCGTGGGTGCTGAAGGACCAGTTTGACAGATCCTCGTCGGTAAGGGTGTCGATTGCGGGAGACGAGGCCACAATATGGATATCATTGTACCCTCCTGCACCATTGTTGTCTTGGCCAAACACCTTGAAGTCACCAAAATAGGACAGTGCTGGTACAGGAGTATCGAGGGCTGCGGTGTTATAGTACTGTGACAAGGAGAGATAGAATCCGGTCTGGGAGGAACCCGATGGAGAGACACCCGCGGCTGCAAATTTGATACTGTTGTCAATGAGCACAGAGGCCCCAGCGACGCCCCAATTGTCGTGGTTGGATTGATCGGCACCTGAACTCTGTCAGCGGTATAGGTTGCCTCAGGACCGTGTGACTTTACCGTGGATAATGACATTGCCGGTGACAGCAGGACCCCAAATGGTGTTTGTGTCTTCCAGGACCTGAATCAGACTCACATCGCCAGAGCCGAAAGGATCACCGATGATGATTGCTTTGAAGGCCGCAAAGTCAGATGTCTTCATGGCACGCCATTCTGTTTCTGTGACCACTTTAGTCGTGAACCCGAGGGCAACAGCATGCTCTTCCTCGTTCCCGACAAGCTCGTCTAAGAAGAGGAGATCTTCAGCGACGACGGAACCAAAGACCGCGAAGCCGGCTGCAACTGTAGAGAAGCGCATGGTTGTTGGAAAGGAAAAGCAAAGAAATCGACGATATCCTCTGGACTTTGTAACGAGTGTCTGCAGTTGGAGGAAACGAGTGACTGGGACGAAAAGAGTGAAAGAGAGGCACCGACTGACACCAAAAAGATTGAGGGTTGTGACGACTCGCCTTTTATTGAGAAGACACCTGGTCCGAGCGAAACCAGAGAAGAGGCTGCAATGCTTCATTTTCAGGAGTTACATGGTAACTGTCGAATGGCAATCGATGTTGCTATACCCAAGGACGCCACAGAATTCCAGACGCAGGGGCATGCAAACAGACAGGCAAGACAAAAACAGCAAACCTCACCGTGCTCCTGAGATTCTCGTATAGACAATTGATAGATCCTGTGATGGCTGATTGCTGACAGACAACACGAAGGTCCGGCCGTCTTGATTTTTGAGATGTTGTACCACCAACCGGCCAAAATGGAAACTGTGGCGTCCCGTCCAGGCTGATTCCAGCCTTACAGCCTTGTTTGACAGCCTGCAGTCGGTAAGACACTAATCTCCCTTGCAGTCCGATATACGAGTTTCGGCCCCGTGCCTGAGCTGCCACGAGCGCCAAAATACTGGCAAATAAGGCGCAACCTCCAGCTCGGCCATGTTTCTATGGGAACTCAAATTTTCTTTCTCGAGTCTTGGCTGGCATCAAGAGTCAGTTGCCAACCTTACAACCGACTATTTTCGGAGGAGGTATTGCTTTGTGGCAGTCTGTGACAGGGTGGCAGGGCAATCGAACGCAATCTTTTGAGAAGTGACAGGCGAGGAGATTTCATGAGTTCGGGAAGTGGACGAACAAAGAGCGATGCATCTCGTATCGAAGCGCTCACGAGTAGGGCCAAGAGGACGTTACTTCAGCAGAGAAAGGAGCCTTGCGCGATTTGACGCCTGGATCTGGCTATCCGGAGAGATTCGAGGTCCATGTGAGCAGCTGGTTGGCTACAGAAACAACAATGAGGCTGGACGAGGCTTTGGAAAGGGGAAGTCGACGGCAATAGTGTAGAGCTATTGCGCTAGCCTGATATGGAAATATCGTTCTTGGCAACTCAATTGGGACAAGTTGAAGGAGACACCAAACTCCCATGTCATCGTGAAGGAAGATACAGATGACACAGGGTTCCAGAAGACGGTTCCCACATGTTTTGTCACCGAGGCTATCTTCGACGCGGGCCTGCGCAGTTCAATATGTGGGACACTATTCGATGGTGAAAAAGCCCTACCCGCCCCCAAGACGACATTTCCCACAAGTTCAATGCCTTTCTCCACGGTATCTGCCATCGATAGATGAAATACTGGGCGATTGGACCTGCAGCCTACACGTTTCCAAGATCCATATCCTGGCTGAGGTCCTGCATGATGGGGATTAGCTCTTGCTATGACTGGGAGGGATGGCCCCAAGACCAACAAGCCTCGGTCGTCCGTCGCACTGTTCGAGACTGTGAGACACACCTGGACGGCGTGGAAAGAGTCTAGCACGACTTCGCGACCCGCGTCAGAAAGTGTGATTGGTATTTGCTCAAGCGGGCCTCGCTGCGGAAATACCAGAGACTCGAACGTTGATCATGTTGTGGCTTGCGTCCATGGCGAACACTCTGTCCCTGTTTGGGAAGATATTGATCTCGGTCTCTTCCATTTACGCGCCGAGGGAGTATCGTGGTTGCCAGTGTTGCCTACCGTCCCGTAGACTGTTTATCGCTCACAGGGCCGTCTGCCCTCAATTGGATTGGAAGCCTATGTCTATCCTTTCTCAGTGCTTGCGCGCACAGTGAAAGATAAAGCAAGGGGGAATTCTAGAGTAAGAGGTCTACTTGATCGGAGACGGGCAATCGGCACGGAGAAAGGGGAGATAAGAGGTGAATAGAATAGGCAGGAAAGTGGAATGTAACAGAAGCTCGTTGACCGCGTCCTATGTTGCTCTGGTCCCACCATATCCATGGTTTTCTCCATCCACCTGAAATCCGCGCTGGAGCCTTCGGAAGAGAGGAGAGTAGGAATAGTCATCCCCAGCGATGACCTTGGCGTCCTGGATACAGCCGACCCGTCTTTCTCACTAATCGACACATGTTTTGTCCGTCCAGCGCAATGGCTTCTTCACCACTTGCGTCGCCTGATTTGACTCAAAGTAGCTCACGTCGAATCCACCCCGATGGACACGTCCCATGCCTCCCGTGGCGATGTGTGGCGTGGAAGTAATCCTTGCAACCATTGTCGTAGCAGATAAGACAGGCTCCGCGGGCTCTCTGCATATTTTCTGCAACAACTTCGACCAGGTCCGCAGCGATATCTCTCTGGCAGAAGGGACAGCATTCGGCGTTGCCATATTCGCACTCTGTGATCTCCACCAGCGTCGTCCAGTCCCCAATGGAGTGTGAGATTGACCGAATCTCGAGCATGGCCGAAGAGGTTGATTTCTTGTATTGCCCCGGTCGTCCAGGTTTGAAGCCTTTCCTAGCCAATAACACCATCATACTGCCGTATTTCACAAAGAAGCAGCTCCCGGTCTGCAAAACTTCATTTACATCGAGATCTCTGCCAACGCACTCGAAGATATCGTCGAAGAACTCCCTTGATTGCAGCTTGGAGGCCTTTGCAATGCCTTCTAAAGGACGAAGTTATTAGAGACATGCGTTGGCTACCAAGGGACTCATACATACCATGAAGATCGTGTACGCCGGATTCAAGAGCTGACTCGACAAATGAAGGTAATGCTGGCAAAGTGGAACATGGACCCTGTAGGAGCAAGAAATGCTTCGTCGCGAACCAGAACAGATGGTTCATCTTGAAAACGGCGGCAACACTCATGCACTGTTCCATTGTTAACTCGAGTGGATCGTCTTCAGGAGAAATTCGGTTGTGATTGATTGGTGTCTTGTTGCGCTCGTAGTCCTCGAATTGTTCCATTATACCAGCAAGCCTTGCGGAAACCCACGGCCTCAGCGCCTTCACACAGAATCGCGCATCTGCAAATTCTACTAGCTTCACGAGCCTCGAGCCGTCACGATGATTGACATTCTCAGCTTTATGGTGAACAATGTTGCAGAAGTCGAGGACAGCCTCTGGATCGTCTTCCCGCAACTCGATTTCTTTCGACCTTCCCTCTGTGAATGGTGACGAGAGCATGCGAGAGAAGACTTCTGACGCAAGACTGATTACTATCCCCGAAACACGTATTTTGAGGGCATCGACCCCTTGGCCAACAACGAGGAGGACATCTCCATCTGATACGACCTCAACGAGCTTCGCAGGGCGCTTTGTGGGTACTTCGTTGACTTGTGGACTTCCGGGACGTTTGCAGCTGGTGCTCATACTGAATTTGAACCAAAGAGATCCGGAGGGCTGTCACTGTCGCGTTGAAATGCGGTTATTAGTGAGTTCTAAGCATCAATGTTATCACCTGCTGTCAGCGTGGGTGGCCGAAAAGAGGATGATGAGTAGAAAGAAGAACTGACCAGTTGTTACAGTTGGAACTTAAAAGCGTGTGATAAGAGGCGGACTTTCACAAATTGAAACCGAGATTCGAAAGAGGTATCTATCAGGAGTCCGAGGATGTGAAGAAATTCACAAGATAGAGAGAATGTGCCGAAGGTGAATTCGTAGTCCGTACCATAGCCGGGCAGGTGAGCGCGGAAGTGTAACAGAGAAGTACCATAATTTCCCTCAGATGGGCTCAGATGCTCATAACCCAGTAGTCGGTCTACACACTCCAATTCAGACCTCAAGGTTCCAGATGATGAGCTGGGGATTGCAGCCGAGAGAGGTATTGTATCCATGCACGTCAAAGTGTGTTGTTGGCCACGGCAGGTCTTCGTCCAAGCAGAGTTCCAAGCGTAGTACCATTGCTCACAATGGGAACGGTGTCAATAAGAAGCCTGGCTCCATGAGATAAGGAGATCAATAGCTCGTAGTGGGCAAAGCGATCAAATCGAAAGAAGACTGCGAGGGTCACTCAGCCTCGCTCAGGTGACTTGGAAGTACCATTGGAGTTGGCATCTGCACGTGCACTTCTCTTGTTGGGGGAAATGCTCAACTGCAACGCTGCTGCAGCCCTTCCAGAAAACAGAGACTGCTGCGTCCAAACCACTGAAGAGGTGGTGGACACAATCATAACTCATCTGGACATCTGCTTTGCGCCTCTTCGCCCTGCTTGATCAGCACTGGCACCCCAATCCATTCGACGTTATGCAGAGCATTGATGTTGGCGGTATTAATGGGATTTGAACAGAGAGAGGTTCTGGCTCAAGGGTCATGGAAAAGATTGCACAAGTCAAGGAAACAAGTCTGGTTTTGGCACAGGGCATCAATCAAGAAGTGAAGAAGGTCTTGCCATCCAAATGGAAGAGACCAGTCACAAAAGAAAACCAAGATGGGAAATTTGACTCGAGAGAAGGACAATAAGAAAACCACATCAACTTCACCTCGACTCCAGCTAGAAACCATTTCTTCTTTTCTCCCCAATATAACATCCTTCACCAACGCCGTGTGCCTGTCATTCCATCGGGAAGATACCACCACATTGACATCAATCACTCGCGACATCCTGGGATCGCCTTTCTGCTCTCAAGCTTCAAGCTTCAAGCCTCAAGCCTCGCCCTCTTATCGCCACCATGTTCTTCTACTCCTCCATAACCCGTGCCTTCATAGCCCGTGTCAACTTTGTCGTATCCACTCTCAAAGTTGCGTTCTGTCAACTTCTGACCTTCCACGTTGAAACTCTCCGACTCTCCCATATCGGCGTTAAACATGTCCTCTTTCTCCCGCATAGGTCCTTTGCCCTTTGTGTCCACACCCCTGCTGACCACATTGTACGCTCTTCTTCTCCGATGCCGTCTCCAGCACAGACATCCACCGGTCAAGAGGGCGAGGAGGACGATGGCGCCGACGACAGCAATTATAATGATGTACTTTGTGGCAAGACCGTGGCTGCTGCTGGATGACGCCGATGCAGATGGAGAAGGAGAATTGTCAGAACTGAGCCCGGCGTTGCTCAATTTCTCGGCCGCATGGGTGATCTTTGCCGGATAGCGAGTCGATGTAGTGGTAGGCAGGCCAAGCACGGAGCTGACGGCATCGTCGCCGACCCCTGCTTGAGCCAACTTGCCCAGAGCGTGGGTAATCTTTGGGTTGTTCACGCCTGAGGTCGCTGTCGCCTGATGATCAGTCACCAAGTTAGGCACTGCACTTTTCGCGCCTCGGATGCCCAAGAGGAGGACGTCTGGAAAGTAGTCCATGTTTGAATATTATTTTCGAAGAAGAGGCAAGGCCAACTAGGGGCAATCAAAGGGTTCAATTAACAGGTGGATTGATCAACGAAGGAGTGACTCGGTTCGAAAGGAAAAAGATGGAAACGAAAGGGGACTTTGCCAGCGAAACCCAGGGCACCAACGCTTCGCAAAAGGGAATTCCAAAGATCGTCGCGAGAGCAGCGAAGGGACGGTATATCAGGGAGACATGTGGCGGCTCACGCACAGACCGTAAGAGCGTTTGCCAGGCACGGGGGAGCTGAGCATAAGCACTTGTTCGAAAAGCTTCAGCACCTCAGACGCGGCGTTATTGGCCGTCAGGGTCTTGTAAGCAGAGAGTGCCTGATATAGTAGCAGAACCAGATTGCGCAGGATGTGCCAGGTGCAGGATTGGGCAATTTCGTGGACCTCAGCCCCCGACCCGATGTCAGCTTTGCCATCGAGGCCATTCAGCTCAAACCGCCCCCAGAGCGAACCGGTTCACCAAGCTTTGCACAAGCCTCAACGCTCGGCAGAGCTTGACCCAATCTGGTAAACGACAGTACGATCCTTTTACCCTGAATGGGGAATCATGGTTTAGCGGAGCACATGCTAAATGGGTGACAACTTAACTCCTTATTAGTGGAAGGAAGGAGACAAACCTCAAGGATACGGAGACCGAGATTAAAGCCTCAAGCTAGGTACGTATTTGTCCATGTACTTGGACCTAAATGCGCAAAATGATCGTGAATCAGGGAGACCAGTATCACGTGAACTTCCTGACTCGCGCAGATGGACCCTGAGAATGTTGTCACTGTTGTTCTGCACATGTGAGAGCGTGCATCGTGGTCACGGCAGTCTATCAGCTGCACTCTGACTAGATGGCTCGTGGCACTGGGAAACGTGCAAACAAGACTCCCGCGAACTCGACCGCCCACACAAAGCCAGCTGCGAGCTCGACCTCTGGCCCTCCGACTCCTTTCCAATACGCCCCAATTTCACTCAGACCCTTCCTTTCGACCCTTCCCACGGACCACATATACTTAGTGCACCTAGATCACACGCCGCCGAATCTCAAGAAACGTGTATTCGTTGTCCCTGTCCTCCTCAATCTTCTCATCACCATCGGACTCTGTGTCCGCTTTTACTATGCCGTCCCCCTCTACCTCGAACAAATCATCACAATTTTCGGCTATGACACTGCATACAAAATCGACACGAAGAGTGCAGGAGCGGGAGAACTCTTCAACGCTGTCACTTCACGAACGGCCTTACTCATGCTCGACTACGTTATATTCGGTTTGATTGGAAGCTGGCCCAAGGAATTTGTCTTTGGCAGCAGACTGTTGAGGTTCGTTGGTCCGTGGGAATGGAGGAGAACAATAGGGTTCAGAGATACGGAGATAATTGTTCGCAGAGGAAGGAGTTGGGATACACCGTTGCTCATCGGGGACACTCCAGATGAAGGAAAGAAGTGGAATCTGGATGACGAATTGACCATCAAAGTCAAAGTCGATCCGGCCATGCGCACCGCAACTCTTGCAAAGACTGGATACCTACTCCTTGACAAGGATTGGGATCTCGACTTCAAGGCGATGCTGGACGCGCATAGGCTAGTGGAAAAAGGTGTGATCCAACTGGAAGACCTTGAGAACATTGCTCTGGTATATTATGAGAAACAATGGTTGGTCTGGAAAGTCCACGAACCGTCAGATGTTATTGCCAATGGACAGCAGCAGGACAGCACTGTCGAAAGATTCAGACGCATCCTTGCAGATCTCGGCGCCGAAGCAGTCTTCTTCCGCTGGATCGAGATCGTCCAGTTCGAGACCTCGCAACCTGGCGGGTTCACTCAAGGACGACAGGCTGAGGCGATCCGCGAACTAAGGACTCGCCTGGAAAAGAAGGGGGTGGATTACGCCAAGTTCTGGGAAGATATCGGTGGACAAGCTGGTCTTCCTGGTCTTGACGAGCAAAATCAATAATGATCTACGACATGACTGACGTTGAACCACCCTACTAGTGCCCTACATTGCACTTGTTCATGTAAGATGATAGAGCACGTGCCTATTCCACTTGACAAGGCTGTTGTGCAGCCTTGTCTTCTGCACATCACCCCGTCCCTCACACTCTACCCCGCATCCGATTGATTCCAGCAGAGAAAATATTCCACGCCCAAATCTCTGCCAGTTCGCAAATTGCTTTCACCTCCTCAGATTCCTAAACATGTCGTCACCCAGCATCTATCTCGCCGTTATCGGCGTTGGCGGTGTCGGCACCTGTTTCTTGTCCCAGATATCCTCGCTGCCCTCTCGCCTGCGCCCCTCACTGATCTTTCTCTCCCGTTCCTCGAAACAACTCTACAATACATCCTACTCCCCTGTATCTCCCTCCGACTTACAGTCCTCTTCCTCCAAACTCCTCTCCGTCCCTGATGAACTGGTCAAATATCTCTCATCCGCTCCGGGCAAGGTCATCCTCGTCGACAACACCTCGTCTCAAGACGTTGCAAACGCATACCCTTCGTTCCTGCAAAAAGGGATAAGTGTCGTGACGCCGAACAAGAAGGCCTTTTCCGGCAGCCTACAGCTCTGGAACGACATCTTCTCCGCCGTCGATCAGGCAAATGGAAAGGCCATGGTATACCACGAATCCAGCGTGGGTGCCGGCCTTCCCGTGATATCCACGCTGAAAGATCTGGTCGCGACGGGCGACCAAGTCACACGCATCGAAGGTGTGTTTTCGGGAACCATGTCGTTCCTATTTAACTCCTTTGCCCCCGTTGACGGATCTGGCGACGGGAAATGGTCAGACATCGTAAAACAGGCGAAAGAGGCGGGCTACACGGAACCAGATCCAAGGGACGACCTCAATGGGATGGACGTCGCGAGGAAGCTCACCATCCTCGCGCGCCTGGCTGGGTTGAAAGTGCAGGGCCCAGACGCTTTCCCCGTCCAAAGTCTCATCCCGAAGGAACTCGAGTCGGCGAAATCGAGCGACGAGTTCATGGCCCGTCTGCCGGAATTCGACGAGCAGATGGAATCGTACAAGGCCCAAGCCGCCGCCCAGAACAAGGTTGTGCGATACGTCGGGTCGGTGGACGTTGGCAAAGGCGAGGTCAAGGTGGGGTTGGAAATGGTCGAGAAGGGTTCCCCGATCGCGGGCTTGAAAGGCAGCGACAACCTGATCTGCTTCTACACCAAGCGATATGGTGCGAATCCGTTGGTCATCCAGGGCGCAGGCGCCGGCGGCGAAGTCACCGCGATGGGTGTCACGGCAGACCTGATCAAGGTGGTCGAGCGGCTGGGATAGATAGACAAAGAAACCCGTCCTTCCAACAAGGGGTAGGAGCCAGAAAAAATAACTCCAAAAAGGTTCTTGCTTACAAGATCCGTCCATATATTAGCTATAAATCTCCGCCCGAAATCCTGCCGACCCTGTTGATATGTACCCAAGATCGATGGGTAGAGAGGTGTCTCGAGGAAACTCATTTATTCGAGGCGGCATTTCAACCAAAACAACAACACATATTGACATGAACCTCGTGAGATAGATCGGCATATTTACGTGAAGACAGTATCCCCCCTCCTCCAATCTCTCGTAAATTCCATTCTGTAGAACCCCCGGAGCCTCATTCAGCTTCTGAGGTACTTCTTGACGGCCTCTCCCCACACAACGCCGCGTTTGTAAAAGTGCATGGCGGGCACGCTACCCTCCTTCAGCCCGTCAATGGCCTGAGCGAGTTCCTCGCCCGATCCTTCCTCCTTCACCTGGGCGATCGGGTACAGATACGTCTTGAAGGCGAACACCAGCGCCTTACTCTTCGGTAGCCTGTGGAGCGTCTGCCTCTCGCACCTCACGAATGTCTTGTCGACGTCGATTTCCTCGAGTTCCTCGACCTCATCACCCTCGTGGGCGTGGTTGGTGCCCCGCCCAGCCGCATAAAGTTCCGTGTTCGTGGTGACGGACCAGTTGACCCGGCGGACGTATTTGCCCACTTCGAGCCGGGAGAAGAATCGATCCATTGATGCTTCTAGTTTTTGGGGGTAGCCAGGCACAGGGCCGTGGATCTTGGCGAGTCGATTACCAAGTTTCTCGCGGGGGTCGAAGCCGCTAGGACAGCAACAGACGTAGGCTTCGAGAATATATTTCGTGTCTTCTTCTTGGCTTTCGTTATTTGTCTCCTTCTTGTCCATGCTCGGATCCCCTTCTTCGGGAAGGAGGAAGAGAAAGTCTTCGTCCAGCGTTCGTCCGAGAGTCTCAAGCAGCATTTTCGTCGATGTGCGAGGTGACGGCTTCGCGGGAAACAGTGCTTTCGTCACCAAGTTTTCCAGCATAAACGTCTTGCCCTCCTCATAGTCGGTTTCGTGTAGTTTGAACATCCTGGGAAAGCGCAGTGGCAGATAGGTGCCGAAAAGAAACTGGTAGAGTTCCACCACTGCGGGACGAATGCGATAGTCGTCATTTACAGCAACGACGTGCTCACCGTGCTCGGCTATGATTTTACGACGGTAGGCGACCCGGTCTGCGTAGTTCCTGTCCATCACTAGTAACTCCGAGGGTGGGAGGTTCTCAAGTGCTGACTCGTCAGATTCAGCTCGTGTAGAGTCAGCCTCTTCTTGTAGGGAATGCGAGAAGAGAGTTCAAGCAGGCTAACGAAGGGAACAGTGGCGGATCGAACGAGAACTCACCCATGGTCAAATGGTATTTAGGTTTGAAAGGTCGGATACGAAGAGGTTCCGTGGTTTCCCAGTCGAACTCTGGTTGTTCTTCTATCGGAGGGAACTCAGGGGCTTTGAGATAACGATTCTCAAACCCGATCTTTTTCGCCGCATTCTGGAGCAGAGGTCAACGATGTCTGCGAAGTGAATAGCTGGGAAGGTCATGAGTGACAAGGCTGACACAACTCACATTCTTGACTCTCACTTGGTTTAAAGCCAAGACAAGGAAGACAACCAGGAGAATGATGTTGGCATAATTGCTCAACGTGAACAATGAGGCGGCTTTGAAATCCTCCCAGCTCCTCCAGTGCCATACGAAGGACGGCTTCTCGATGTTTTGGAAACTGCTCATCGTGGGCGGGAATGTGCGTTCCTATTGATTGTCGATTGACTCGGATCCGTCGTGATGACCTGCAGATGACACCCAGATGACCTTTTGATGTCGTGTGACTCGGGACCAGAGGTGAGAGACTGACTGCACAGTAGTCTCAGTCTGGCACATATAGATATTATAGAAGATCCTTACATATCTCTCTTGCAATAAACAAGTACATGCGCCCAATGACATTACTACCAAGTCATTGTATATAGGCGTAGTCCGTTGTGTCCGTTCAGCCACAGTAACCGAATCGGGACAAATCTCCCGAGACTCGATGGAAAGATCAACCGAGGACGGATTCGCTGACTAAGAATTCCATCCATTCACACGACATGCTGCCTGACTGACGCGGTGTGGATTAACGGTTTCGCCCAATGCCATCTGCGACTCTCTCTTCCCCAGATAGATCTGCCCGGAACTAGAGAAGTTGCAGAGGTGGTGGTGAAGGGGGAGACTATGGCGCTACAGGTCTATATTTCTCACACGGGCGGCCTTCTCACCTTCAACGACCCCGTGGCCCGTGTCGACAACCTGCGGTCATGGATCGAAGCCAACACTGCTATTCCAACCTCACGCCAGATCTTGATGACGGCTCGAGGCAAGATTGTCAAGAATCTCAACAACGAACAGGAGGTCTACGTCTATGACAAGCAGTTTCTCTCCCCGGACTCCAAACCTCCCTCTCGAGATGACGTCCAACTCAAACCACTCTCCGATCCCCCTTCCTTTCTCACCGACGAGACCAGCCTCAAAGCATGGCACGAGTTGTTCAACTCTCGGCGCACCTGGGCTCTGGACACATTTGAAATTGCCAGAACAGGGGTGGAGAACATTGAAATTTGTGCAGAGGAGGCATCGGTCATCGCTCGGTCCATGAAGGTCGCTCTGGACAACCTGCGAAACCATGTTACGACGCTACAGCAGAGGTTCGAGGAGACAAACCAGTGGGCTCAGGGATATATACAAGAACATCGAGAGATCCTCAAGGATTGGCAAGCGAGTGTAGATACACTTGCAGAACTTCCCGTCCGCGAAGATGTTGTCAGGGTGTTGCGGCGTCCGGCTGAGCCAGATGGCAAGGACCCCTCGGCACCTGTTGGAACTCTTTTCGATCTGGTGGACCGAGATAACCTGCAGGCTGCGGCGGAGAGTGTAGAAAAAAGCTCGGCAGATTTCGAGAAGAGGCTGCGTGAACTGCAGTCGGGCATGGAGAAATTGAAGCAGGAGACAAGTCAGGCTCAGGCCCGCTCAACACAAGTGCCGGATTTCGACACCAATGCTCTGCTGGATGAGGCTGAGACACTGGCGAAGCGGATCAGTTCGGACTATGAAGACGTCGTACAGATGCAAGACAATCAGAAATCCGTGGTTGCAGCGTCAAGGAAAGCTGCTGTGCATACTCGTGAATTATTGCCTGCCATGCACGGCGTCGTGGAAGAGATTATCCAGGCTTCCTTGAGTGCCTCTGAAACACGAAACACTGCGTCTAATGACTGGTATTCCACACTTCAGACTATCTCGGGTATCCAATCTCGCCTTGCAGAACTACAATCCGAAATCACCAACCTGGACTTCCACGACAACGACAACTTTGCTGCTCTCAACCGGGTTTTCCAATTACCGCTTGTCTATGGCGCTACACTTGTGGAAGCAACTCGTAGATCCGAGTGGACTGAGCGGATGCGGGCAGAGGTCGACGTTTTGCATGAAGATCTCTCTCTACAGACCGAGGAGGAGCAAAGACGGCGAAAGAAATGGACCGCTTCCCACAGCGACTTTCTGAATGAGGATATGAATGCCAAAGATGCACTGATCGATCTGAAAGCAACAGCACCTCGAAATTCCTGGCCGTTTGTAAGCAGGGACGAAATATTCGCTTGGGTTGACGATCTGAGAGCTCTTGGGATCGACGACGCAGTACAATCAATCATGCAACGAATGAAAGATTTAGATGCTCCTGTCCGGAAGCAGAAAACGAAGCCTTTCAAGAATGGGAGTATTCATGACCTTAGCCAAAGTGCTGCTCTGCGCAGCGGAGATGAAGTGAGAGGACTCCAGGAGGAGAAAGCAAGACTCGAGGAAAAGCTTCGCGCATCAGATAGCCGTGTGCGGAAGTTGGAAGATCTCCTCCATCGTCAAAGCCAGCTCAGTCGGCCTGCTAGTGGAATTTTCCAGCCTGGCAGCGCTGCGGACTTTGAACGACAACAGACGCCTTCGCCAAGTGCGCTACAAAGACACAGCGACCTGTCTCGGAGGTCATCAGTTTCGCTCAGAAGACTCTCCAATAATCAGGACGAGAAGTCTCTAGTGCAGAAGATCGTTGCGTTAGAAGGTCAGATCCAAAAGTTGCAGGAAGAGGCTCACGCAGAACGGCGTTCAAGTACTGAGAGCAGAGACAAGATGCAGGAAGCGGAACTGGTGAAGCGAGACCTAATGGCCAATTTCGAAGCGCAGAAACAAGAATTTGAGGAGGAGCGACAATTGCTGGATGACGAAGTACACCGTCTCAAAGTTAAACTGGAAGAGGCTGAGGAGGAGCTTGATCGTCTCAATGACTCGAGAGATCATTTGCGCTCCGAACAGGATCAGACTATGATTAACTTACGGAACGAGTTGGAACAGCTCAAGAAAACCTCTGCGGAGGATCTTGTGCTGGCAGATCGGAGGGTCGAGTCTGCACGAAAGGAGGCGGCTGCGCACCGAGAGCGAGCTGCAACGCTCGATCGTCAACTTCACCAACTCAAGGAAGAACGAGCATCCGCCCAATCTCAGAGTATGACCCTAGCGAACCAACTCCGCTCAATGGAAGAACAACAACAGGAATACATCTCGATCCTGCAAGGCGCACATTCGAACCTGTCACCGGCGGGTTCTCCTCCAGATGATCTCCACCGTCTCGTCAATGCTCTGGAAATTCTGTCTGAAGGTGCCGCAATCCATGCTCGAGGTCTCGACGATTCCCTCCAACTTGTTACAGCAGAGAACAAATTGCTTGAGGAGAAATTGGCCAGTGCAGAAAGTGAGACCAAAACTCTCACAGAGAAACTGTCCACGATGGAACAGCGTGCGAATGAGTTGAGGGAAGACATCGAACAAGAACGCAGCAAGATCTCTGTGCTGAAGACTGAACTTGCGGGCGAACGCGCGGAGATGGATTCCTTACGCGAGAAGTTTGCCGCCGGGGAAACTGGTTCTGATACCCTTCGGCAACAACTGAAATCTGAAGAGATGAAAGTCGCGGAATTGATGGACCGTAAAGCTGAGGATGAAGGCGTCATTCAGCGCTTGAAACATGAGATCGAAGATCTCGGTCGGGAAGCGGCCAACGCGGCAGAGAAACAAGAGAAACTACGCAGACACTTTGATAAGAGGGGCGAAAGGGCGAAACAACTCTCCGAGAGATTATTCCACCACCACGATCGAATCATTCGCATGCTCGAGCAATTTGGCTACTATGTTTCCCGACAGGAAGACACGCTGGTAATCCAGCGCGCAAGTAAAGTTAATGCCAGCGCCGTGCTCAGTGGCAACGAAGGGTCAGGGCCAGGCACTGCTATGAAGCGAACCATTTCCGGTTCCACACCAGCACAACACTACTCCGACCCGTCGGACCTGGACACCCTGTATTGGACGTCCGACAATGACCTCACCTCTGAATCGACAAAATACTCTGGCTTCCTGTCCGCCCTGTCGAGATTGGACATGGACAGCACGATCGACTTGATCACAAAGCGCTACAAGGACGTCGAAACGCTGGCGAAGAAATACCAGAAGGATTCTCGTGCCTACCGAGAACGAAATCACCGGTCTCAGGCCGAGGCGCACGATAAAATCGCATACAGGAGCTTCAAGGAAGGAGACTTGGCCTTGTTTTTACCGACGAGGAATCAAGCAACAAGACCCTGGGCGGCATTCAACGTTGGGGCACCACATTACTTCTTGAGAGAACAGGATGCACATAAATTACAATCGAGAGACTGGCTGCTTGCACGAATCACGAAGATAGAAGAGAGAGTGGTGGATCTGAGTAGGAGCATGCGTGGTAACACCTCGTCTTCAACCGTGGGTATAGCGAGCTCGATCGTGGATGATGGTGGGTCGACCCGGAGTGTTGACGATGAGAATCCCTTCGAGTTGTCAGACGGGCTGCGGTGGTATATGATTGATGCCCAAGAAGAGAAATTGGGCGCGCCTGGCACACCCTCGGTGGGAAAGTCAACCGTGACAGCGAGCAATGTCGAGGTCAAAGGACATATGGGGCTGGGCAGGAAGGAGCACAAGTCAAGCATGGGCATGGGTGGCGGCGGCAGCGCCACGACGACGATGGTCACCAAGACGCTGACCAAGAGCCTGGACAGTCGGCGGTCGAGTTCAGGGAGTAAAAAGAGCGTGGATCTCAAGGGCAAGCTTCAGGACCGGAGCACCGCTAAAGACGGGATGCCTTCATCGAAGCTTACACCATTGGCGCCCATTTCAAGCGACACGGACGTCGAGCAAAGGCGGGCGCCTCCACACGATGCGAGCGCCAGAACTGTGCCCATCCCGGACGACGACGCCCACGCCGATGCAGACGCAGAAAACGAGAATGACGAGCCTGAAGCGCGGAATTTGGCGGGCTCGAGTCAAGACCAAGGCTCGGGCCAGGGTCAGGCGGGGAATGCGAGTGTCCCCAGCATCGTGCGCCGTCCCACTGAAGCGAGCCAGACGGATCGGGAGGATGCACAGGTTTTTGAAGTGGTGAGGCGAGATCTTCTTCTCGGCCCATAAGCCAGAGGAAAAATTGCAGCAACTGATGAGAAAAACAGAGTGGTGACCACCCTTCTGGGTCTGAGCTTGCGGGCCCGGCCGCGATCGCAAGACATCCTCAAGGCCTTGCAGCTGGCTATGCTGCCCTCAGAGCGATACAGATTGAACCGCCTCTGGCGGCGCAACGACTGAACAAGAGACCGATGTATTCAGCCCCGAGTCCGAGA